TATTATTTTTCTAATGTATTATGGAGTGTACTTACTTGTGATGTATTATTAAGTGCTCTTTTAAATGAGTTATATGTCTGTATCTAACTGTTACTTTGCAATGTTTGCATATTACCTCTCTATCGGTTTTTTCGGTAAAATGATCCCAAGTCCAATAAAATTTAACTTCTTTCTTCTTTTTTGCTGTTAATTTGTCTGGATGTACCACCAGCAAATGCCTACGTAAAACATCTAAGCGATAAATACACATTATGAATCTTTTATTACAATGATTGCATTGCAATGAAGATATTGTTAATCGTGTGTAATGTCTACGTATCCAGCGACGAACTGGAATTACATTGTCTTCTGCTTCCCTGAAAAAATATTTCTGATTGGCTGTACATATTATAAAGGTAATTGTTGAAGCAATAAATGAATGTTTCATGTAGTATAGGAATTATTTGTATAGGAAATTTAAAGTTTAATTCATAAGACCTATTTATATATATTGTAATTAACGCAAAGCGATTATAGTTACTCATCAAATGCTTTTGTTCCTTTTATACATTCAGACAAATTGTTAGTTAGGTTTGATGAGTTAGGTAAATCTTCTTGATGTTTTGCATTTCTTAAAGTTATATTCTTGTTTTCCTTTGCATCGCTATATAAAGTGGTTTCGTTATTTATTATACTATATGAACTCGGATTCAATATCCTACATATATAATATAAAGAATTAAAAAAACGATAAAAAATGCAGTAGAAATATTATTTTAAATTAGGTATACACTATTCCACTATGTGAACGGTCAAATATTGATATTTTTTATGCATGGTGGTAGTAAATTTTAGTTTCTTGAATGGACTTTGTACTTAATAAAACTACGTTTGTACGAATATAAAAGTATTTTTACATCATATTTGACAAGATGCATGGAAGCACGTTAAATACATTTTTCAATATACATTTCTCTGCGTTATATTTACGTATTTAGTTAATATAAATTATTTTATTATTGTCAATTTAACACATTTCTCAGAGTTTATTATTTTTCTAATATATGTATATGGAGTGTACTTACTTGTGATGTCCTTTTAAGTGCTGTTTTAAATGAGCTGAATGTCTGTATCTAACTATTACTTGGCAATGTTTGCATATTGCCTCTCTATCGGTTTTTGCGATAAAATGATCCCAAGTCCAGTAAAATTTAACTTCTTTCTTCTTTTCTTCTGATAATTTTTCTGGATGTACGTTTACTAAGTGCTTATGGAAAGCAATTAAATGTTTAGTATTTATAATGAGTTGAACATTACAATGATTGCATGTTGCTTTATTAGTTCTTGTCAATTTCCTGTAATGTCCACGTATCCAGTGACGAACTGGAATTAAATCGTCTTCTGCTTTTCGCTCTGCCATTATAACCACTCTCTACAGAATATTAGTGACTAATCAAAGATGATACAGAAGCGATGTGAAAAAGCGTTTGCACTATTTATTAAAGGTCAATTAGAGATACGTATATGATTCTTTGACGGAGCATGTACATAAATATTGATGTTTGTATAATTCGAATCTATTTTATCACGAGATTTAACGGATACATTTATACAACTTTAATCATATATTATTAGCAAAAAGATTGAATAAAAATCCTCTTTTTGTTTTTCTTTACATAACACAATTTTAGTCTGACATGTATTCCTATTAATAATGTGATTGATATCATAATGTATTATGCTTTGTAAGTTGCACGTCATAAACGTGTGCCATATAATGCTACATCTGTTCTTATTAATTAAGAAGACGCGAATATAAGAGCACTGATTATGTTAAGTATATTCTAAACTAAATTTTTTTTATAATATTTTTTGTAAAATAAATATTCTTCAGCTTTTTCAACTTATTATGTTATATGTATTTGATGTAAAAATATAAATTATCTTCTTGTGCTATGCATTATATTTGGTCTATACATATACCAAATATAAACATTCCGGTTAAATAAAAATATTTTGTTAACATTTATATTTTATGTAAATTAATTGTGAATTCACATTTATCATATTGCGGTTTTACTTTATTAAATATTTACTTTGAATTTGAATGAAAAAAGAATGGGCAATTGCAAATAATTTCTTATTAAACAAATTTTATTTATTATCACCTCTTCAGCACGAAATATTGCAGCAACGTTGCAATATTTTAATAGCGCGGAGTATCATCAAATTGTAGTAATATTGCTGCAATATTGAAATCATTATTGAAATTTTAATATTATTGGAAATATTGTTACAATATCATGAAATATTAATATTTAAATACTTTGTCGGAAATATTGTAATATTATATATTGATGAAATATTTCAATTTAAGACATTTAATACCGTTCTTTTTTAGATGTGTCGATGATATTTCACTATCAGTTCCTAAGAATAATATAGATGAAACATTATATATTTTTAACTCAATATATAAACGTTTACAGATTACATTAGAAATATAAAAGACAATCAGATCTTGTGCTAAATTATTTAAAGACGAGGACAATATTATTTTTAAATTGTACAAAAGGTATATATCATCTGATAGACACTTAAATTTTAATTCACGTAAAACTTTTAAAATCAGTCATACATTGCAAAAAAATAATATATATCTTAATAAATTAATTATGAAATTTAGTAACATACTGGCTAACAACAACAAATCGATCACAATCGGATCATTATCAATGTTTATAAAATATGTTTAAACGGTAAAAAAATATAATATAAAGTCGATCGAAAATCTTTCTCTCATCGCATTGTCTATCGTACTTTATTTAACTTTTTTCTCATTATTTAATTTTTTTGGATTGAACTGTCAGCTATGAAACAATTATGAAAGGTACAATTATGAAAGGTATTTTCCTCATTTAATTTTAACGAGTATTTAATTATTTTAATTGAATAGATAGATTTTTGTTGTTGTTAGCTGATATGTTATTAAATTTCATAATTAATTTATTAAAATATTTTTTTATTTTTCTACTAATTTTATAAGTAAAATTTCTATCTCGTAGCTCTTTTTCTTTTAACTTGTTTTTTAAAGCCATTATACTATTATATAATTTTAATATATATCTTTTTTTTACTTTAGCTGAATTTAATGTCGAAACTTCTTGCATAAATAAAATATTTTCTTACAATAATTTCTTGTTGGTCAACTTCCGAACTAATTTAAAAATCATAAATATAAGTTATTTAATTTACATTTTTTTTTGCAATTGCTAACTATCTAAATTGATAGTTACTTCATTCACTGCATTTTTTAATGAATACAAACGAAGTTATTTCCATGTATTTATTTTTTGTAACTGAATTTTTTTTTATATTATAGACTTATATTTACACCAAAGAGCAAAAACGACTATTTTGAGAATTTTCAGCTTTAAGATTTATTTTATTTTGATTCGGTATAATTTTACTTTTTCATGTATCAATTTCAAAATAGCCATATTATATTTTATCAATTTATATTGCATTTTATTTAGTGTGATCGGATTATACATATGTACAGCGCAGCAAATTAGTAAATGTAAGTACAATTTGATTTGCCTCCACATAATACAGAATTAAGATGAAATAAAACATTTTCTTCACATATTATATGGGAAAAGATCTATACTTAAATCGTTTTATCTCGGAAAAATCATAATGACACAAAAAAAGATAAATTAAAAAATTGAAAATTGGTGAATTCATTAATGAAACTTCGGTAAAAAATTCACTGATGCTACAATGTTAGGAAAACGTTAGGAAAAATCAATAATATGTTATGTAATGTTATACGCATCACAGTATTTCAGATTTACAGAAGTAAGAAAAGTTTAACATTGCGCAATGTTCATTCAGTTTTGATAGTCAATTCAATCGTCAAATATACTTGTTTTAAGTGGATTAATTATTAATAAAATTGTTTTGTTAACTATTGGTTTGCACAAGAATTACCGTGCTTGACTCCTATGACCCTGCTATATCCAACCATTTTATATCATTAATATTTTTAGGAATTAATTTATATTTAAAATTGTAATAATTATTTATCATGATATATGACTATCGCAGATATTATGTTTGCTAATTGATAAATGCAAGCGATAGGAACAATTTTTCTTAACGTTTATACTTTAGTTATACTTTATACTCTTATAAATTGTTATTATTTTATAATTTTATAATTTTACAAGTGTATGAAAGGTACTTTAATTGTACATATATCATGAGACACGATAATGCCTCGGTGCTAAGAGTACATGAGTGCGCCGCGAATAACCGCGAATCCGGTTGTATTATAATATATTCATTTTTAATAAAGATTTGATATCAGTAATTGTCATCAAGACAAATTTTATTTTCTCAATCCAATTGATATTTATTTTCTTTCAATTAAAGTCTTTTATTCAAATTCAAGTAATAATAGTTTTAATTATCATTAACAAATTATTACAAATATATTATTATTTCTTAAAATTTATTTAATTCTAGTGATATATATCATTTATATAAAAGTTAATTCTTCTTCAAAACATTATTACCATAAAATTGCCTTAACTTACTCAACTCAAGTGTTATCACAAAAAATTAAAGAAGTAATTAG